CATTCTCTCCTTCGTGATCACAGACTCGATTTTGTTGGCTTTATTGAGTCGATGATTCGCACCCCCTTTTTTGACTACTACTCGCGTCGCCTTGGCTTTCACTCGGGCGTGGGTAATATTTCGCATAAGATCTGGTTCTTTCACTCGCGTGACTACACTTGTCGGGTCCTCCGCGACACCGATCAGGTGCTTCACATAGAGCTTTCTGCTGCCCACCTCCCAGAGCCCATCTTTCACACCTTGGTTTATGCCAAGTGCACTAGGTTCGGGCGATATGATCTTCGGGACACCCTGCGTGAGATTGCCGAGAGTATGGAGGAATTGCCATGGATGGTTAGTGGCGATTTCAACATCTTTCTGCATTCCGATGAGCATGTGGGTGGCCGTTCGGACCGGTCATGGGAGATGTGGGATTTTGCTCAGGAGGTGGCGGACTGTGAGTTAATTGACGTTGGATGTGATGGTGATCCCTCACGTGGGTGAGGGACGGACTTAAAGAGAGGCTCGACCGTGCCTTGGTTTTTGAGGCGTGGGCGAAGGTGTTTGCGGTTACGACCGTCATACACCTTACTCGATTTGGATCTGACCACTCACCCCTTCTCATCCGGTGTCGATTTTCGAGCACCCCCCGCCGCTCTTCCTTTAGGTTCCAGAACATGTGGGTTCGCCACCACTCCTTCCACGACAGTGTCAGGGATTCCTGGCTTCAGCTGACTGGGCTCTTCGGGATGCGCAATCTCGAGGCGAAGCTCGGCAGACTGTGGCGTCGGTTGAGATAGTGGAACTGGGATGTTTTTGGAAACCTTCATCAGCGCCTTTTTGCGGCTCAGAGTGCGCACGCGACGGCTGAGCGGGCTTATGACCTGGGCCCCACTCCGGAGAATAGGACTGCGATGCACCGCTGCCACGCCGAGTACCAGCTCCGATTCCTTATGGAGGAGGACTTCTGGAAACAGAAGGCTGCCATTCGCTGGGTGGCCGAGGGCGAGCGGAACACTAGGTTTTTCTAGGGCTACGTTAGGTAGAAGTGGGCTAAGTCGTACATCCATAATATCGAGGCTGATGGGTCATCCCTGACCTAGGAGGATCAGATTCGGGAGTCGGCTGTTGCTCACTTCCAAACCCTCTTCACCTCTGACAGAGGGTAACTCGTGGCCCCGACCGCTTCTTTCTTCCCCACCATCCCTCATTCGGTAGATCTCGTTGGTCTCTGTGAGCTTTCGAGTAGGGAGGAGGTTAGGGATGTTGTCTTCGGGATTGATCCCAACAGTGTTTCTAGCCCGGATGGTTTCTCCTCTCTCTTCTACCAGGTCTGCTGGGATTTAGTCGAGACTGACGTCGAGGAGGCAATGTTGGATTTCTTCTCCGGTCACTGGATTTCGGATTCCTTCACGTCTACCTCTGTCGTCTTGATCCCCAAAAGACCCAACCCAAGCTCTTGGTCCGATTACAGGCCCATTAGCTTGTGTAACGTGACCAACAAGCTCATTTCAAAGATTCTTAACAGCCGCCTTTCACCCCTTCTCCCCTCCCTCATCTCTTCGAACCAGAGTGGCTTCGTCAAGGATCGGGTCATTAGTGATAACATCCTTCTGGCCCAGGAGATGATCCACGACATCTCCCGAGCGGACTGGAAGCGGGCTCCAAATATCGCGCTGAAGCTAGACATGGCTAAGGCGTATGATAGGGTTGGGTGGCCGTTTCTTAGGGAGGCACTGGCTAGGATGGGATTTCCTGAGCGTTGTATCAGATCTGTGGAGGCGTGTGTGGAGCACTGCACGTTCTCGGTCCTGGTTAATGGCAGCCCCACCGATTTCTTTCCCTCCTCTAGAGGCCTTATACAGGGCGACCCCCTTTCCCCTTCCCTCTTCGTTCTTGCGGCGAACTACCTCTCTCGCTGCCTTGACGGCTTCATCCGCGACTCTCCTCATATGACCTATAGCACCCGTGGCTATGGTCCTACCATCTCTCACCTCTCTTATGCGGATGACATCATCATCTTCACCCGGGCGGATGATGATGGACTGGTCGAGCTTATGCGCCTTCTGGAGCACTATGGCTCGGTCACCGGTCAGTTGGTCAGCGTGCAGAAGAGCACCTTCATCCTTTCATCTTCCACCGTTGACAGGTGGGCTCAGCGGGTCCACGGCATTACGGGCTTTGCGCGTAGCGACCTTCCCATTACCTACCTTGGGGTCCTTTTATATAAGGGCAACCTCACGAGAGCGCTCTTTGCGGGCGTCAGGCAGAGGATGATCGATAGGATATCTGGTTGGTCGCATAGACATCTTTCTTTCGGTGGTCGGCTTGCGCTGATCAAGAGCACCCTTAGCTCTCTTCCGATTCACTTGCTTATGGTCCTCGACCCCCCTAGGTCTACTCTTGACGAGATTGACCAGATTATGGCTCGTTATTTCTGGGGTTACGAGGACGGTTCTGGGAGGGAGAGACGTACCCACTGGGTGAGTTGGGACTCTATCTGCCGCCCCCTCTCTGAGGGTGGGCGTGGAATCCGCCATCTCAGGGACATTGTTACAGCTTTCTCCTACAAGCTGTGGTGGCGCTTCAGGGAGGGAAAGTCGCTTTGGGCTCAGTACCTTCGCGGCAAGTATTGCCTTAGACGTGCCAACCACCCTTGTTGGGTGACGGCAGTCGATCATGATATCAGACAGTGGCGGCGCCTCACTAGGGTCGGTAGGCCCGCCCAGGATCACATCTTTTGGGTTTTGGGCGAGGGCGAGGTTAGTTTCTGGGATGAGTGGTGGGTAGGTGATAGGCCGTTGTCGAGGGAGAGGCAGGTGTCACATTCCCCCTACCTGCTTGTGAGCGACCTTTGGACGGACGGGTCGTGGGATAGGGGGGAAGCTAGATAGGGAGTTAGGCTCTGGGGCGGGTTTTAGCGAGCATTTATTAGATCAGATCCAGCAGATCCCTATCTCGGGGGACGGTTCGGATAGTATTAGGTGGAGACTTACTTCATCGGGTGTGTTTTCTACTACATCGGCTTGGGAGCAGATCAGGCTGAGTGATCGGCCTAATCTTCTCTTCGGGGCCATCTGGAGCGACCTTTTCACCCCTACCATTTCGGTATTCCTTTGGCGCCTCCTCTTGCACCGGATACCCGTGGACACTGTGTTACACGCGAGGGGGATATCCTTTCTCTCTCGGTGTGTGTGTTGTTCTGAGACTAGACGCCATGAGACCGAGACCTTTACCCACCTTTTTCTAGAGAGTGAGATTGTGAGGAGAGTGTGGGAGCATTTTGCCAGCTGGACACATATATCCCTACCCACCACAGACAGTTTCTTTGAGCTCCTGAGTTTTTTCTCACAGAGCACACACCTTAGACACGTAGGCTTCCTCATTCCTTGTCTGATCCTTTGGTTCACCTGGACAGAGAGGAATAGTGCGAAGCATAGGGATATTACTTTTTTGTTTTCTCACATTGTTTTGCAGGTAGAGAGACACATTTCACTCCTCATAGCTTTGGGCAGGCTCACGGCCCAAGACTGGACAGGATGCACGCCGCCACACCGCTACATGGTGGCTTCCCCACCGCCTGTTCGGCCCCCTCGGCCCAGAGCTGTTGTTTGGCTTCGACCCGACTCTCCGTGGCTCAAGCTGAATACTGATGGATCCTTTGATCACCACACCAGAGCTGCCGGAGAAGGAGGCTTGATCCGGGACCATAGCGGCACCATCATCACCGCCTTCCACGCGCCCCTTCAGGCCTCCTCGATCTACGACGCAGAGATTCAGGCATTACAGATTGGCCTTCAGATTGCTGTCCACCTCTCTAGTCATATATGGATCGAGCTGGATGCTGCGGCTGTCGCCACCCTCCTGACTTCGGGCCATCAGGGCTCGTGGAAGATTCAGCACCCGCGTATGCGCATTAGACCTCTACTTCGGTCTGTCCATCACAGGATCACACACATTTTCCGTGAGGGGAACAAACCTGCTGACTACCTTGCCAGCCTTGGCGCCACCATACCCGATACACATACGTTCCAAACCGACACTGCTCCACTCCGCCTTCGCACGCTTGTACGGATGGACCACCTTGGATATCCATCTTTCCGCTTTCAGTAGATTAGGTTTATTGTTTTCATTTGATTAGATTTCCATTTTTATTTTCGGGCACCTGATAGCCCGTAGACAGACTTTGTATTTTCTTTTTATTTGTTTTGCTTGTGAGACCGTGTAGACTGTGATATTTTGGGCCCCTGTTTTGGGGTCTTGATCTATGCACAGGTTGGGGATCCAGCCCAATCTCCCGCCCTCCCGGGGCGTTGTTTGTTTTAAAAAAAACCTAGCAACTACAGACAACTAACCTAGCAACTACAGAGAACTAGCCTAGCAACTACATAGAACTAACCTAGCAACTACAGAGAACTAACCTAGTTGGAAGGTTAGTTGTCAACAATCAATGCCGAAAGTCAACAGTCAATGCCGGAAGTCAACTGTCAACGCCGGAGTCAACGGTTCAAAATAATATTTAAATAATTAAAATAACAAAAAGAAAAAGAGTAAATCTTGGCCACACATGATGTATCAAATCTTGTGGCTAAAAATGAGTCTCACGTCCTCACTTTAAATAAGTGGATGCATTGGAACCAGTCCCTTTTATATATATACATATATATATATATATATATATATATATATATATATGGATAGGATCATATAAGAATGGTAGATAGTGAAAGAAATGAGAATAAATCTGTATCGTTGGATTCAACATATCAATGGTTATGATCTAGTCAAAATTAATTATGCTAGTCAAACTGACGGTGATAGTTTCGTAAATGAGAGTTCATTTCATGGTAAAAAAATACACATCAACCACTAAATAAGGGCATGAGAGTAATTACAAATTCCTAATAAATCCAAGAGGGCCCACCACTACCACCAACAAACATATCTTTTCTCTCACATCTTCATCTCATACCCACAGACGCGCGCACACACACACACACACACAAACGGCTGCACCCCAGTCCACAACCACCGCCCGTCGCCTCCGATCTCACCCAGCGCCGCCCACGCCATCGTCCGATCCCGCCGCCGGTCACCGTCCGTACCCCACCCGCCGTCGTCGCCTTCCATCTGCCACCTGTCGTCCGCCACAACACCCTCCGCCGTCGAACAAGAGGTTCTCCCGACGAGACGACAACGTGGCCACCGATGAACGCTTGTTGCAGCGGCGTGCGGCCGCTGGCGTTGTGGTCGCCAGAGCTCGGCCATCCGGGCGATGAGGTGGTTGTTGAAATTGAGTGTGGTCGATGATGGTGGCGTTGTGACGATGACCGGCGAATGTGCACCGACGGCCGCAAGATGAGGCGCTCGACGGGAGATGAACGGGCCTGAAATCAAAAGTTTTTTAAATTTTTGGAGAGGGGCTTGTCTTTGTGAATTTGATAAGTTTTAGGGATTTAAGTGAAAATAAAATGATATTACAATAAATCTGCTATTAATTAACGGACAAAGAGCAGGTTAATGAATTTATGTGGGATCCTCATTGATTATTCATTATTAAAATAAATTGTCCACTTATATTTTCAGTCTTGGGTTGCAACTCGCAAAGCCTAATAATAAATGGTTGATTGTTGCCAAATAATAATAATAATAATAATAATAATAATAATAATAAATGGTTGACCAATGACCATAATTGTTACTAAATTACTTTAGACGTTCCGTTTCCTTGAACCGATATAATACCTGGTATTATAGGCTTCTATTCCATTTCATTCCGTGTTGATAATTTTTGACATAATCAGTTTAATTTGTCGGTTAACATAAATAACTAAAATAACCGACATAAATTATGTTATTTATTATATAAACAAATTAATATTTAATATTTTTATTTGATAATCATTCAATTTTTTTTATTAAGGAAATTAGTATATATGTAAGCGAAATATAATGTGCAATTTAATTGTTCTTAAGATGCAACCCGTACAACACTGTGGTGCATGTTGTCGGTCTGTATTGTGCAAATTGAACCAACCGAAATTTTGTCCCAAATCAAAATGAAAATGAACATAATTAATTGGTTTATTCGACTCGATTAACCGAATTATCCTAAATAAACGAAACAAATTATTATTTATATTAAAATTATATTTATTATGTTAAAATTTTATTTATTTTTTATATTCTTTTTGTTTGAAAATATTTGTGTTCGGCCAATTTCGTTTCTATTGTGCAATCTAATAGTCGTGATAAAGTTTTATAAGCGTGTTGTTTTATAAGGTGCAACGTATTGTATTATAAAATACAACGTGTTGATATATAAAGTGCACTAATATAAATTTGGTACGGTAGCATGCTTCTTTTCTCTTTTTATTTTTATTTTTATTTTTTTGACATATGATATGATGAATATTAAAATATTATGTAGATCTATTTTTTATAATTATGTTGTGTGGTATTTTGGCGGGAAGAAGTCAATTGTGGTTTGTGGAGATAAAGCGCAATGTGTTACTTAATAAAGTGCAGCGTACTGATATATAAAGTGCACTGCTTTATATGTTCATAGATAAATTATGTGTATTCGAAAAATATTTTTAGTAGATATCATTAAGCATTGATATACACAACCAATAATAATTTAAATATTTTTATTATTTATTATTATTTTTTAATTTATCATTTTATTTATTAATTAATATATATGTATAACTTAGCGCCCTAGCTAGATGAAATCATTGAAATGAACCCCTAAGCCCACGCGGCAATACATATATATTTTTTTTATTAACTTTCGTTAATTACACATTTGGCCCAAGGTTTAAATTGAAATATAATTAAAATTTATAAATTTGCAAGAAGGTCCTTGAACCCTTTCTAATTTTTAGAAAAAAAAAAATACTCAATTCAATTTTAGTGACAGGTTCTCGGGAGTCTCTTCCAGGCGCGAATTTTCGGCCAATTTGACGCCATCGATGACAGCGACTCAGACCGTTTGCTCAACCGCACCAGAAACTTCTTGTTCGGGGTTAGTGGAAGGTCGAGTTGGTCGCTAATGGAGGTCACCGGAGCTAGGCGGAGGCGGCGGAAGGCTGTCAGTTGTGTCGAGGGTGGCCGCAAATGGAAGGTCGTCGGAGATGAATTGAGACGACTGATGAAATCACTGCGGCGACGGAGGAAACGATGGGAAATTGCAGAGGAAGTTCGACGACAGCGACGGCGGCGGCGGAGGCGTGACAGAGGCGGAGTCGTGACGAAGGCGACAGCTTGACGACGACGGCGACGACTATGGATGGTTGAAGGTCCCGCCGTGAGTGTGTGTTCCGCCGACGAGTGTGTGTTGTGTGTGTGTGTCGCGTGCGTGTTTATGTGCTGTGTGTAATATGTGTGTGCGTGTGTGAGAGAGAGAGAGAAGGTGTGGGAGAGTGATGGTGAGTGGGTGACAGATGGTAACGATTTAATTGGGGTGGGGTCATTAATGTAGTGGATAGTTGGTGTGTAAGTAAATGTCCATAATACCTTTATTGATGGTATAATTTTGACTTTTTTTTAGCCATTCGATCTAATGACTACAATATATTCTTATTTCTTTAATTAAGCACCATTTTCACCGGAGCGTGACCTTATATATATATATATTATTTCAAGAAATCAATGATGAAAGAGTTCGAAATGACGGACTTGGGCGAACTCCATCATTTTTTGGGAATCAACATCGCCCAAACAAGTGACGGAATTTTTATTTCACAAGGAAAATATGTGGAGGAAGTGCTTAGAAAGTTTTGAATAGAGGAAGCTAATCTGGTTTCTACACCGTGCCTAACCGGATGAAACTAAGCAAAGAAGGAGAAGGAAAACTCGTGAACTCCACGATGTACCGGAGCCTCGTAGGAAATTTGATGTATCTCACCGCCACGAGACCGAACATCATGTTCGCTGTAAGTATGGTTAGCCATTTCCTGAAAAATCCGTACTCAAACCACTGGGAAGCTGCCAGAAGAATACTTCGATGCATAAAAGGTACGATGGATTTTGGTATCTTTTATAAATCCGGTATCGATGTCAAACTGGTAGGATATACCGATAGCGATCTTGGAGGATGCGTTGATGACTCTCGAAGCACTTCCGCTTACGTGTTTAACCTTGGAAGTAGAGAAATATCTTGTGTTCGAAAAAGCAAAAGGTTGTGGCTCTTTCGATGACCGAAGCGGAGTATATCGCGGAGTCATTAACAGCTTGTCATTCTTTATGTCTAAAAAACATTCTGAAAAATTTGAATCAAAAGCAGAAAAATCCTACAGTGATCTATTGTGACAACAAATCGACCATTTCAGTTACAAAAGATCCGGTCTTGCATGGAAGAACGAAACATATGAGGATGAGATATCACTTCGTGCGTGAACTCGTAAGTGAAGGTAAAATTATGCTAGAATATTGCCGAAGCAACATGAAAATTGCTGACATATTCACAAAACCGCTCGGAGGGATGATCTTCGCAAAGAATGTTGCCGAATTGGGAGTGCAAAGCAAATTAAGTTTACGGGAGGCATTGTTGGAGTAAACTGAATTTACTTCAGTCAAAGATATCTCTTTGTATTTGGTCAACGTCTTGTAGTATTCCTAAATGTCTCCTAGTTAAGCTAAATGTCTCTTAGATGGTTTAAAGAGTCATCTGAAAGTAAGTGTCTATATGTTTTGTTGCTAAAACCATTTGGTTTGGATATTTTAAATATGAGTATGATGTAAGTCATTTGACAAGATGAGTGAGTAAAAATATAATTCTATTTCTAGAAAATATATGGTCTCACTCCCTTCAATATAATGATATATACTTACTGCATCAAGTAGTAATTGGACATCATGATCCGCAACTGCTTGTCCAAACATATATAGCCCATCTTTCAACTCTTGAAAATTTAAATTCCCATTCTTGTCTGTGTCCATCATATTGAACATTTCTTTTATCCCATCTACTTGCTCATCAGGCAAGTTATCTGCCACCACCTATAAACATATATTGAACATATAATTGACGAAAATACGTCATCTAACTAAAGAATGAGTAATTAATTGATGAATTGAGTATCTGATCAGGAACTTACACTAAGGACCCTTTTCTTAAATTTATTCATCAACGAGAATTGCTTAATTCTTGTTATAACACCTTCTCCTAAAGAAATATCTGGAACTTTGTCAGCCCTTTGTATCCATTGGCTTTCTTCATAAAACACAACAATGCACAACAATTAGTATTATTATTATTTTTTCCATATACAATTACAACATATCGGCTGCTTGAATAGTAATAATGTACAAAATTATTATTATTTTCAGAGCAAATAGTAGGCGCTTTGTCGTCAGTTCGTCTACTTAATGAAAGAGACTAGCATACTAGTTCGATTCGAAACAAATAACTAGTATTTTAACGGTAAAACACACTCATAAGTTTGAGAAAATATGTTTATAGGTGAAATCTTGTTCAATTCGGTGAAACAACATATTTAATTTGAGATTACTGTTAAATATGTTGCATTGATGTCTAATATCAGTGTTTGTGATGCATGCAGTTAAGTTAGACTTACGAAGGACTTCTTCAACAGTTAGGCGGGTGTAAGGATTTTGCTGAAGCATGCCTCGGACAAGATCCTTGGCATCCTCGCTGATTCTAGGCCATGGATCCCTTTGAAAATCTATCTCACCATGCACAATTGCCTGTGCAATTCCTTCTTCAGTTTCTGCGCTAGATAATACATTCAATCGCCACATCATAATGTTAAGGCAATGTTATTGTAACTCATACTAGATAATTTTTTTTTAAAACTCATTCTAAGTAATGTTTATGATGCATTATACGAACGTTTTAGGATAACTGAAGTGGATTTATTAATTGTAACAATTTTCAGCTTTATAACAAAATTTCAATTCGATGATGTTGTATTTTGAAGTATGTTTGGGGGAGAATAAATTGGTTTACCTGCCCAAAAAGGAGGAACTCCACATAATAAAATGTAGAGAATAACACCAGCACTCCAAACATCAATTTCTGGACCATAATTGCGCCTAAGAAGCTCAGGGGCCATGTAATAAGGGCTCCCAACGATTTCACTAAATAGTTGACCTGATTTCAGTATAAAAGACATGATATGGTGACACATTATATATATAACAATCAATTGTGTAGTGTAGTTGGATTGACCTGGTTGGAAGAATATAGAAAGCCCAAAATCAATTGCCTTTAGGGGAGCATTTTCAGAATCATTAGCGTACAAAAAATTCTCTGGCTTTAGATCTCTATGTATGACTCCATGTTCATGGCAAACCTGAATTCAATTAAAATCAGGTTTGAATTAATTAAGTTTGTATATATTGATTCATGTACATAGATACGTCATACGAGTATTATCCCTTTGGGATCGTTTTGGTTTTATTCTCCTTTTGGGAGCTTTGTAGTTTTTATTATTGTTTGTCGTGTCGTCAGTTTTGTGTCTTTTTTTTCTAGCGTTGTTATTGTCAGGTTCTAGGAAGACTTCAGTTCCGTTCTCCCAGTTTATTCAGCTATTGGTTGTATTATTCAGTTACGGGGCTGTATATTTGCACATTTCTGCGGTTTTATCTATAAAATTCCCTATCGCTCCAAAAAAATAAATAAATAAATAAAATCCTGTACATAGATACATATATAGATTGATACCTTGAGCACGTGAAGAATGGTTTTGGTAACGTGGGCAGCTGCCCTTTCCGTGTAATGCCCTCTTGCAACTATTCTATCGAACAATTCCCCTCCCTGACAGAGCTCCATGACGAGGTACACAGCTTCATTGTCCTCAAACACCTCTTTGTATGTTACGATGTTTGGATGTGGGGGCAAATGGCGCATGATCTCAACCTCTCTCTTTACATCCTCCATGTCAATCTCCGTCCTAAGCTTGCTCTTAGAGATCTTCTTGCATGCAACCCACTCACCTTTCACATTGTCAAAACATTGGTACGTCACCCCAAACTCCCCTCTCCCAAGCTCTTTGCCCACATGGTACTTGTCAAATATGTTGCCTTCCCGAGACAACCTTAGCTTCAGCTCAGGTTTGGTGGTGTACCTCTGAAGGGAAATGCATGTCCCCATCAGAATCTCTTCTTATTAGAATGTCATGTGTTAAGATCCCATGGGAACATTCATTAATGAGGGAGGAAAAAGTGTATTTGTATGTGGGTCACACAGAGAGAGAGAGAGGGAAAGAGAGAGAGAGAGAGAGAGAGAGGGGAAAAAATAGAGCGAGAGGGAGATTGTATATTTGTATGTGGCTATTATTATACATACATCAACTCATTTATTGATGAGCTCAATTTGGTTTTTTTTCACCCCCGCCTTTTGCTCGTCTCCTTTTATCTAACTCTCTTTATTTTCACTTTTTTTTTTCTATCTATCTAACCCATGTAAGTAACGTGCTGTTAGATCTCAATGTTTTCATTCTTTCTTACATTTTGAGTTAACTAGTAAAATGCACGTGCGATGCACGTGTTTATATTTTAATGTTTATATTCCCTCTTTTATATTTTTATTGTCTATTCAATTTCTTGCATTATTATATTTCATTAATCTAACAAAAGAAGTACAGTACGTAATGAATTGTGTCAAATATATTGAAAGTTGAAATATAGTTTTCAAAATAATAATATTTAAAAGTCATGTTAAAAGATTGCATGAAAATTTTGATTGACAAACCTTCATTATCTAAGTTAGTCTTATTTATTTGATTTCTTTTTGTTTGGGGAAGATTGAGAAATATCAACAGTAAAACTATATTGAAATCTTTTACAAGAATCATTGCATGTGATAGTTTACGATTTTGTTTTATTTTCTTGTTGAAGGAGACTATTCTTTGTCATTATTTTTATTGACTAAATAAAACAGTTATAATTCAATTGACATTGGTTAGCAAAGTTTTTAAATATAATTCATATTATTTTCCCTTTTTCCAGTAAAATAGTTTTCATATGCTTTTCTTTTTCATTTGATATAATTAATTACAAGTTTTGGTCAAACTTTTTTTTTTTCATTCTATTATATTTTTCATGAACCATTACAAACATATGGTACACAATCTGATTTAGATTTCTACAATATTAAAAGATAATTTAAAAACATTAATACAATTATTTGGTAAATTATATTTTATTTTTTACTTAAAAAATAAATTGATTTAAATTAAAGATTTATGTATAATTAGTTTGGCATTGAAGTGACATTTAATGCTAAAATAATTGCGATTGAATAACTTGTATAAATATCAACCAATTAATGTGTAGTAATAAGTTCATAACTACATAACTTTAAAATTTCCTCAAATGCGTGATGTAGATGAACTATAATATTATAAACTTTGTCGAATGAAACATATATATACATATACAAACTTGGTCAAATTTTCGTCTAACATTTGTTACTAAATATAATTTTTTAATCATTTAAGTTGTATTTATATATCATACGATATCTTAGGTTAGATGTAATTTTATTTACTTGATAATTTATTATAAATTTAATGATTAAATACTTATTAAGTTGAAATATTAGTTCACATAAATTCTTGTATGAGACGGAATAGCCATTATGCGGATTGATCCTTCATACTTTTTTTTTAATAAAATTATATATGTATGCATTAAATCTTTAACTTTTATTTATGTTGGTTTTTAAAGTATGATAATTCAATTTGAGCGTAGTATACATTTTGGAAATGGATGAATGTTTAATAGTTAGGTCTTCCTAACAATTAATTTTAATATTATACTGTATTTTATTATAAATATGAAGAAATATTAAAAATAGAAAACATGTTATGGTATCTATAGTAATTTTGTTAACTCATTTTTATATTATTACACATCTTTATTAGTTTCACACACAAACCACATCTTTTGGTTGAAATTTATTTTATAATTCATTATTTTATTGTATATAATTGATCTATTATTCAATATACATTTTTAAAGTAATTAATTATAAAATAACATTATAACTATTGCACTAACCACTTTTTAATAAATAAATGAATAGAAAATTTTAAATTAATAATAATTTTTGTATGGACAAGTTAATATTTTGTTTGCCTATTTAAACCTATTTTGTTTAGCTTTTCTTTTTGAAAGAATTTAGTTTTTTTGTTAGAATACTATTTTATTGATATTTAATTGTGATTATGAAGGAGATACTTAATGATATTATAGTTTTGCCACAGTGCAATCGTGCATAAAACTCTGTTCTATTAAAATATTTAATTATACTAATAATTTTATTATTAAAACATACCAACACAAGTGATTCTTAAGCACCCTATTTGAAAAAAAAAACATTCATAACAACTACACGGTTAATAGTTTTTCCTTAAATGAAGAAATATAACATAGAACTATTTTTTTAAAGGATACTTCTTTTTTTAAAAAAAAATTATATACATTAATGAAACTTAAAATGAAAGAGTTTTTGAAATAGTAAGTGGTTGCTATTATTTTAAAGAATACTAGTCAATTGTAACCCATATTATTAATATTATTGTTTTTTTTGCTGACTTTAAATAGTTTAAGAGTATCTTTAAAATGTTTTAGAAATAACTTTTACTTTTAAGATACACTATAATTAAAATAGAATAATTATAAATGATATCAAGAAAAAATTTCTAGATAAATGAAAGTTCGTACCCCCACGTATGATTCCTTAGTTTATTTGACATCAAAATAACGATTAGATTTGCACAATCATTAAATGATGTCACAGAAATTGTGTGTGAACATTCGCTCTTTTATGTATATTATTTGTAGACTCAACATATAAAATAAATGAAATAATTAACAAAAAATTTATACAACATCATATGAGTTTGAAACAATTATGTAATTGTATATAATTATTTCAGTTGTCAATATGATAGTACAAATATTAATTAAAGTATATTTTAAATAAACTATAGATATCATATATTCTTACAAATTTAAAAATGATAATATAATTAATAATACATAAAAACTCATTATTGAGAATCATGAAATTTGAAACTTAAAATAGTTATATACAAATTAATAAATATACATATTATAAATCACTAAATATGTCAAAAAAAAAAGTTACTAAATATCATTTTTTATATTATATTTCCGTACATCAGAAATCTGAATGTTCAGCTTATGGTGTAATCATGTATTTATTTCATGAGTGATTAATAGTAAAAATTAAGACTCCGTTTGTTTTGAGGGATTTATTGAGAGATTTGAATGTCATGTATCCGATATAGAGAGACTTGGGCTGAGAAGAGAAGCAAAATGGGTTGAGAGTTATCGGGCCAGTGAAGGAAATGGGCTGAAGATTCATGAAGTTGCTGTTAGCATAAATTGGGTCAAGTTATTGAAGGCCTAGTTTGGGTTTATCTATTTCTATTTTATTTTATATTAAGTAAAAGAATAGCAAAAAGTGTGGTCCCATATGCGGGTATATAAGTGGGGAATTGAGCATGTAACAGGGTAATTTTTGGAGATAACAAATCAATATTCTGTCTTATTCTCTCTCATACGTCCTCCCTCCCTCCCTCTAGCTTTCTACTCTCTCTCTCTTATTCATCTTCAACATCTTCCTCCATCTCTTCCTCCATCTCTTTATTGCAGAAAAATACAAAAGAAATTCAAAAATTCATTATATCAATTTACAAACTATCTCGGGTCATAACATTGAAATCCATAGATTTCAAATTTACAAGTTCAAATGTTCATGCATGTTGGGATGATAATGAAAGTTGGAGGATTTCAAATTCATGCTACATGTTTTTTAATCATTATTTTGAAAGATTTGAAATGACTACTTAAACCTAATCATTTGAAATCCACTGTTCATCACCGTTGACGACCATGCCGTCCGCAATCATTTAGGTTCATCACCACCGGTGCGAGCTAGACAATTTATTTATAATATTTTCAACACATCCATTCAAGGAGTGTGCAAGTAAAAAAATTTATATTTCAAAAATTTTGAAATCAAGGGATTTCAAATCCCTCAAAACAAACGGAGCCTAAAAGAATTAGTTTATGATGTTGACAACTAAAAAATAATTTGTTTATTTCAAATAATATTTCATAGAATGTAATCTATTTATGAATTATTTATTTTATTTAAAAAATATTCTATATTTGTATATTAAATCCATAAAAGTACATAAATATATTTTATATAATTCATCATAAAAGAAACATATATCAAATGTGACATTTTGTCGTCAATGAAAAAGATCCTTATTCAAAGTTAACATATTTTATAATTTATTTGACAATTGCGCTCAATTACTTTTAGTTAACTGAATTTTATTTGTTTGCATACTTCTAATTAACTACAAATTATACTTTTATCGTTTTTACTAATCATTGTATTATAGTTTTACTATTATAACTATATCAAATATAAAAGATATCTTAAGCAATCAACATTCATCTATTAGGCAATAAGTCTTCGCATTTGATTTTTTTACGTGTTATTCATTGTTCTATTATAGAGTAGTTTTTATCATTATATTTCAGCTTATAAGATTTTGTTACTTTTCAAAATTGATTTTCTCGATAAAAGTATTATTGAATATAGTTGTTAAACTTTACTTTAATGGAAGACACCTTTTGAGTTCATAAACTATAGGTTCATTGTATAGTAATATAAAGTTTGATATTAGTTAACCTTATTATTTTCTCTAATTAATTTATTACCGTGTTCAGATATTTTAATTCTAGAAATTAATTCTAAATATGAATAAAAATAGTAAAAATAAATAATAATTTGATTTTTATATTTTAATATTTGCTATCATGTCCATAAATGCATGTGAAAAATACATTTTTTGTTTTCTTTCATGTCATGTCATGTGTTTTTTTTTTTATATATATATCATATGTCCTACTTGATACTCTATTTTTCCAACAAAGACATTTGAGCAGTTTTATATGCCTTGTTATTAGTTTAATGTAAATTTTATATCATTATATTATTTAAACATTATTAATTATGACATGTAGTTATGTAATTAGTAATATGAACATAATAAAAATATTTAGAATTATAATAAATTTATATTATAATAGTTTATACTTAAT